ATTTAATCGATTAGTTTGGGCAGAGCAAACTAATCGATTTTTCGTTTCAGTTTAATCGATTAATTCCAATTTTGTTTTCAGGCATTCTCGCCTCTGTGTACCGTAATCGATTTAATTATCCATATTAATCGATTAATATTATCTGGTGCATATCATCAGCTCTCTTCAACGGCTTTATTTTCCTCAGCCTATTTAATCCCTCATTCTCCTTCATTTCTACACACCTCTTGCACTCCAACATATTTCCCTGAGCTATTCATACTTTGCTTCATTTTCCTCATCAAAATATTATTTTTGAGAGTTAGAAATATTTTTTTAAGTGCTATAGAAGTTGTCATCCATAGAGCTTAAATCTTTCAACACTACTTTGCTCAATTGTGTGAGCTTTCATTCTTGTGTTGTAAACTCAATTTCATTTGAGTGTTGTTCTTAAAGACTTGTGTGACTCAAGTCTTGTTGTTGTAAGAAAGTGAGGCTTGTGTGATTCAAGTTCTCAAGTTGTACCGGTTTTTCAAGCACCCGTTGAAGCTTGAAGATTAGTAGGACTTTCGAGAGAGTCTCTCGGAGGACTGGACTAGCCACGAGGTGGTGAACCAGTATAAATCCCGGTGTTCTTCTTTCCCTTTCTCTCCTTACTTTTTCCTGCGATAATTTTTACGAAAAACGTACATTCTTGAAAACAACTCTATTCACCCCCCCTCTAGAGTTGCACTTTTGTCTAACATCTTTTAGGTCTTGTTCCAAGCCATTCTTTACGCCTTGAGTTATTCAACGAAACTCTTTATATCCACGGCGGTTTGGCAATTATCAAAACCTGTCAGAAATGAACACGACTTTAGTTTATCGTACAAAGTGTGTTCCAACATATCCTAAACCTGTCTTCTCAGTGACTTCTTCAAATAATCGTTCTACATTCCAATCTTCAATGGTATCCTCAGTGAACTCCCTGGTTATTGTCTTCACTTTACAAGAATAAATATTATATACTTCTTCCTTTTCTTGTGTGTGTTCACTTTTCTCTTCTGCATGCTCACAACCTTTTCCTTTGCATCCTTTTCTTTCAAGGACTTCTCAAATTCTACAATTGAGTCAAAATTTTTTGCATTTAGTATGTGCAACGCTCCAAAAATAGGCATATCAGAATTAATTAATTGATAATTTATTACTTAATTAATTACTGAGATGGACCAAAAGATAAGTGATTTATAAAGTTTAACAATTAATTTTGAAAATTACACCGTTGTGCAGAATTTGATTGCCTGGTTGCAATGGTGCAATCAAATTTTAATTTGGAGAAAGTTAGACAAAAAAGTGTACCCTGATTGGGACCATTTAAGTCTCAATCGGGAAAATTTGTGTAAATCACCAAGAATCGTTGCCCGACCCACTCGCCGATCTGTTGATCCGCCGATTGTAGTATGTCACCATAGCTTGGCTTCGTCCTCTTCTTCTCACTATATAAGAAGCCTTGGTTCCCCTTCATTTCTTCACCATTTTTGCATTCTTGTTTCGAGAGTTAGATGTGAGTGTGGAGAGTAGGCCACAATAGTGCGCTACAGTCAAATTTCCACAAATCAACCCCAATCTTCTCCCAACCGTTGTACCTTATTTTTGAGTATAAAAAGGGGTCTCTTGGGTATACCTTTAACAACCATTCCTCACACATTTGATAGCTTTACATTGCATCATTCCATAAACTTTGTACATAGCTTTTTATTGTCATTTCTTGAAGAATTGAGTGTGTTCTTGGTCTAGATTAGTTTACTCATATTCTACTTGTAGAGAGAGTTTTTTTCTTGAGGTAAGTGTTGTAAACACTTAAAGAGAGGTTTATTCCCTTGGTTGTATAAAGGAAGGGTTTATTCCTTTGGTTGAAGCCTTGGAGTGAGGTATCTCCGACCAAGTGTGATGAGGCTCCTGGGACTCGATTTCTCAGGTTGTAACGGTTTGTTAAGCACACGTAAGCTTAACGGGAGTAGTGTAGCTCAACAGAGTCTCTTGGGAGACTAGACGTAGCCACATGTTGTGGTGAACTAGTACAAATCTCAGTGTGCCTTTCTTTACGCTTTTACTTTTCATGTTCTTTATTTTTAATTCCTGCATTTTTTTAAACGCTATTCACCCCCTCTAGCGTTAGGACTCTTTTCTAACAAAATATAAAAATAGGTCTATGAGGTAATCATAAAACCTATGAATCTACCATTCTTAACCCGTCTTTGGATGACTCAAGAATAAAGGGATCACCCTCAAAACAAGTATGGACGTGAACAAATGGAGAAAGACTCTAGTGATGATGATGAGCTAAAGCTCATAATGAAAAATTTTCACAAACTTATAAGGAAAGAGCAAGATAAGAAAACTGAACACACTCCAAGATGCTATGGATGCGAAGAAGTCAAGACAAAATGTCCAAAAGCCAAGAGGAAACCATTCAAGAGGCACCAAAAGGCATATATCTCATTGGGTGGTGACTGTAGTGACGAGTCAAGCAATGACGACAAAGATGAAGCTGCTCATCTCTGCCCCATGGCTCGCAAAGAAGATGTCCAAGAGGTATGTAACACTTCTTCAACCGATTCTTATACTCTGGAAGAAATGCAAGACGCACTTCAAGAACTTTATGACGAGTTTGACGGGATTCTAAAACCAACAAAACTCTAAGGAAATATCTTTCTAAGCCGGAGAATGATTTTCAAAAATTGACAAAAGAAAATGAACAACTTAAGGAAGAAAATAATTTTTTTTGGAAAAATAAGCACCGACAAACCCGAATGTTCCACACACGAGTGTGAATCTTGTAAGTCTTTAAAAGAACAAGTTGGGAAACTTGAGAATGTTTTAAAAGTTATAAATTTTAAAATTTATCGTAAAACAACGGTGTTGTCACACCTACATCAATGTTTCCAATAGCAATGTCCTGGCATAATTTTAAAAAATATATCTGTTGGACGGCTCCTATGTACGTTATGAAATTATATTGGTGTCATTATTGAAGCCTAGAAATTGATCATGTGATAGAATATAAATTTTTTTTTTAAAGCATAAATATCAAATAAATTACAAATTTTGGAAAACTGTTGGTAAACTACATTACTCGTACAATTTTTGGGAAGATTTCTTTGTTGTATATAAGAATCTTCATGCCATTACGTTTTGTGACTCTCTAAACCGCAACATATAATAGTCTTTGTGGGTGTGTGTGTGCATGTATGTATGTGTGCATGTGTGTGTGTGTGTGTAAAAAAAGTAAAATAATAAAATCAGTTAATCATTGATATATTTAAACTTTTTTTTGAAATATTAAACACCTTTTCAATATGACTATTTTTTTAATTTTTGTGAAAACTAAATAATCGGTATTAAAATAACCAAATATTAGAAAATATGGATGCTATTCTACAAAAATATCATATTCTATATGCATATTACATAATATTATATTTAATGTAAAAAATTAAAGATCATATAAAATTTTAAACACTAATATCCCTTTCACCTCTATCATTTTTGTCATAAATTTACCATTGTGTATATTATACCATCTTAAAGTTTAAAAGTAAGTCTTTTTAAGTATAAAATATTTATGGTTTTGGAAACTAAGTTTTTTATAACTATTTTATAAACAAGTATTTTAAAATAACTCTTTTTAAAGAATGAAAATAATAACTTTTTAAGCTTTAACATTGCTTTCATGCTTAATTCCTATCCTACAAGCTAAGCAATAATTAAAAGTGATGGTTTGTAGTTGAAATATAATAATAATATTAATAATAATGATAGTAATAATAATAATAATAAAAGCAAAGCCATCTAGCCATGGAGTGAAAATTGGACATTCAATGGCAATCTTTCCCTGAGCTGTTGTAGAGACTTTTCACACCTTTTGGCCTTCCGTGACTTGAACAAACGTTGGCGACTTACAAAGGTGTCCTCTCCAATTCTTACCGCAAGGCCAATGGTAATATCAATCTTTTGTAGGGCGACAGCATGCTTGAGAAAGTTGGTCACAAACTTGACACAATTTGCATCGCCAAGAAAACCAATTAACTTAACATGGAACATAACTTTCGTGCTTTTTTTTTTCGTAACCACCAAGTTTGGTACGTTGTAGCTTTAAGCAAGAAAGAATATCATCAACATGATATAAAACTAATCAACTAGCGTAAGCACTAAATACATTGGATAGTGGAGGATTTGGGTAGGTAAAAATGTAATGATATTACATATATAGTGGTATTTGGGACTGGCGGAATATCCACACGCACACACCCACACAAACACCTAAAATATGCCCATAATGTGATACGATGAAGCAGCTTCAACGATCGGCCGGAGCACAAGGCGTGCATGGCTAGAGTTTGGGGAAGGGAAGTTGACGTGAGAGAGGAGAGAATTTAGAGAGAGAAAGAGGTTTTAGGAGGAAGGGTTTGTTATTTCATAAGGAAAAGAGAGGTTAAGGCTCTCTTAAATAACAACAACTTTCCCAATCCTACTTGAACTAGATTATCTATCCTGTCGGTTCAAAGAAAAGCGACGAGGTAAAGAACCGAAAAGAAACCCTCGAAGGAGCTTATAATTCACTCACCTAAAAAAAAATCTAGAGTACAAAAATAAATGAATTACGAAATAATTTAAATATAATCTTGATAACGTCTTGGGGGTCGAACGGTCCTCTTTGGCCGCGCATGCGGAACAACGGTATCACCTGGGTCATCCTGCATGCCGGGTACGTCCGTATCAACTCCCCCGGGGTTGGCAACGGCCTTGTCCTCAAGGTCGAGATCGGGGTAGTGGCGGCGGATGTCTGCAACTGGTTCCCATGTGCTATCTGCGGGACCACCATCGAACCAAGAAATCAACCACTGCTCTTGGGGTTGGCCATTCACCAGAACTGTGCGGGCGGCAACGGCGCGGAGCGGCACTGACACTGGGCGACCCTTAAAGAAGTCCGTGGGAAGTGCAACCGAGGGTAAGGTGGTGCCACTCTGAACGAACGGCCGCAACAGCGACACGTGAAAGACATTGTGGATGCGACTGTCGGGCGGAAGCTGCAACCGGTAAGCCACGGGGCCAATTCTCTCCAGCACGGTAAATGGCCCATAGTAGCGGCGTGACAGCTTTGACGATAGGGGCCTGGCGACGGAGTGTTGGCGGTAAGGCCGGAGTTTCAGGAGGACCAGATCGCCGATGTTGAACGAGACATCGCGATGGTGAGCATTGGCATGGGAGACCATGCGCTGGCGCATTTTCTCCAAATGTGTCTTCAAATCAGTGAGCAGGTCGGCACGTTCCCGAAGGAGGTCCTCGACTGACGCCACACGCGAACGGACGGACATGGTTGGGAAAATGGACGGAGGCAGGCGTCCATATAAGGCCTGATACGAGGACATTCCAATGCTTTCATCATGGCTACAATTGAGGGCGAGTTCAGCCCAAAGGAGAAACGTTGTCCACCGCGCCGGGCGTTCGTGCACAAAGGCACGCAGGTATTGTTCCAAGCTACGGTTTACTACCTCTGTCTGTCCATCGGTTTGGGGATGATAGGCTGTGCTAAACTTCAATGTTGTGCCGCTGAGACGCATGAGCTCTTTCCAGAAAAGGCTCATAAATATCGAGTCCCGGTCGGATACAATATCTCGAGGAAAGCCATGGTGTTTGGCGACGATATCGAGAAAGAGCTGAGCGACGCGAGGGGCGTCAAAATCTGCTGGTAAGGAGCCAAAATGGGAGTGCTTCGTCAGGCGGTCAATCACAACAAGGATAGTAGAAGCACCACGGGAGGGTGGCAGACCGGTGATGAAATCCATTGAAGCTGATTCCCAGACCTGATCGGGCGTGGGCAGGGGCTGTAGCAAGCCTGCAGGTTTCCGCGTGGAATACTTAGTTGTTTGGCAGGCTAAACAAGCAGCCACAAATTGCCGGACGTCCTTGCGCATGCCTGGCCAATAGAAGGTGGTGGCGAGGCGGTGGAACGTCTGCTCCACTCCTTGGTGTCCTGCCATTGGGGAGCTGTGGTATTCGGCGAGCAACTGCTGGCGCAAGGGGGATACCGAACTAAGGACCAGGCGGTGGCGATAATAGAGTAGCCCATCATGCACGGAGAAGTCTGCCTTCGCTGACCCGGCTGTGACCGCGGCATGCAGCTGCTGGAGTTCGGAATCCTGTGAATTTTCGGCGGCCAAGGCGTCCAGTAGCTTCGGGAGCGGACGGGAGTAAGTGGTGAATAGAGTGGCTAGTTCGGCGTCGTCGTCCCGGCGGGAGAGGGCATCGGCGGCGCGGTTGGAAGCCCCGGTTTTATACTCAATGCGAAATTTGTACCCCATGAGTTTGCGAATATAAAATTGTTGATCCGGTGTTTGGACTACTTGATGGAGAAGTTCTTTTAGGCTGCGTTGATCACTCCGAATCACAAATTCGCGGCCGAGCAAATATTGACGCCATTTTTGCACTGCTTCAACAATAGCATATAGTTCCTTATGGTAAGTGGACGCAAGACGGCGGCGAGGCCCCAACTTTTTACTGAAGAAAGCCAGGGGGTGTCCGTGTTGTAGTAGAACCGCGCCGACACCGGAGTTAGGCGCATCGGTCTCCAGGTAGAAGACATGGTTGAAGTCGGGGAGGCGCAAGACAGGAGCCGTGGTCATTGCAGTTTTCAAGGCTGCAAAGCTGGTGTCGGCTGTCGCATCCCACAAGAAGTTATTCTTTTTGAGGAGGTCGGTTAAAGGTGAGGCCAGAACTGCATAGCCGGAGATGAAGCGCCGGTAGTAGCCCGTTAGCCCGAGAAAGGCCCGCAGCTGGGTGACGGATGTGGGCTTCGGCCATGCGACCATTGCGGCAATCTTTTCTGGGTCTGGTTTTAGCACTCCCGCGTCAATGATATGCCCCAAATAGCCGATTTGAGATTTGCAGAAGGAGCATTTTTGGAGTTTGATGTAAAATGAATGGCGGTGAAGGGTCTCCAGGACTGTCGCCAGGTGGTGGGCGTGTGCTTCGGTGTTGGGGCTGTAGACCAAGATATCTTCGAAGAAGACGATCACAAATTGCCGCAAGTGAGGGCGGAAGAGGCTGTTCATAGCGGCTTGGAACGTAGAAGGGGCATTTGTGAGGCCGAACGGCATGACCAAGAACTCATAGTGGCCCTCATGCGTTCGGAAGGCTGTTTTGAACACGTCATCCCCGTGCATGTGGATTTGATGGTACCCCGAGCGGAGATCCAATTTAGTAAAGACCCGCGCCGACCCAAGCTCATCAAATAGTTCATCGGAGGTCGGAATGGGAAAGTGATCCGGGACCGTAGCTGTGTTTAGGGCCCAGTAATCAACACAAAACCGGAAGGTACCATCTTTCTTACGGACGAGAAGCACCGGGGAAGAGAAGGGGCTCAAGCTTGGACGAATTATCCCTTGGTGCAACATTTCCCGGACCTGCCTTTCAATCTCTGTCTTTTGGAAGTATGGATAACGGTAAGGGTGGACGTTGATTGGACGGGTACCCGGTGTGAGGTGGATACGGTGATCACAGAATCGAGGCGGTGGCAGCCCTGTGGGTGTCCCAAAAACTGCCGCATGGGCCTGGAGAAGAGCAGTGATGGTCGCGGGTAGATCCTCGGGAAAATTGGGTGGCTCGGGGGCTGTCGGCGGCTGCACAGCCGGGGAGGGTACCATCTCATATAAGTCCATTGGGGTAGAAGACAAAAGCATGGCACTTAGTCGATTGAAAGAGACCGGGCGTGGTTCCGGCGTGTCGCCCCGTAGCGTGATGGTTTCGCCGTTCCGAACAAATTCCATGGTGAGTTTGGCATAATCATGTGAAACTTTACCCAATGTTTGCAACCATTGCACCCCAAGCACAATATCCGGGCCGTGAACCTCAAGCATAAACAAATCAATCTCAAAGAGGTGGCCTTGGAGGGACAACGGGGTGCGAGGACAATTATAAGAGCACCAGAGCGAGTCACCATTACCCACATAGACACGGAAGGGCGAAACGGGGTGAAGCACCAGCGACAAGCGTTCCGCGACTGTCGGTTCAAAGAAAAGCGACGAGGTAAAGAACCGAAAAGAAACCCTCGAAGGAGCTTATAATTCGCTCACCTAAAAAAAATCTAGAGTACAAAAATAAATGAATTACGAAATAATTTAAATATAATCTTGATAACGTCTTGGGGGTCGAACGGTCCTCTTTGGCCGCGCATGCGGAACAACGGTATCACCTGGGTCATCCTGCATGCCGGGTACGTCCGTATCATAATGACAAAAGGCTGATCACCTTAAACGAAAAAAAAAATTAACATTTAAATGATGGATGAAACAACATAGCATGTAACAATGTGGAATTAGTAATTTCAAAAGCGTGCGTGCAGCCCTCTTTATCAGCATGCACTACGTGTAGAAGATGGAAACTTGCAAAGGTATACTCTAAACAAGTGAAGGCTCATCATTATCCAAAAGAACTAGCTAGACTTCCAATTAATGCTGGGATCATTTAGGTATGACATGTTATGCATTTGATGTATGTAGGAAATGCAAATTGGCATGTGAAATAAGTACATACGTTTAGTAGCTCAAGCTGTTGCAAGTTGGGAGCTGCCTTCATGAAAGAAACAACTGCAACATAACCAAGTGGCACCTCTGCTGAAGACATAACATCCAAAAATTGAGTATCCTTAAAATTGAGATGTCCAAAAAGGATAATCATTTTTATTTTTGTATTATTTTGTTTCTTATTTTATTCATCATTTTTTAGAAGTTCTCAAAAAAAAATTTGTACCTTTTTTTCGGAAAAAAACAAAAATTGTTAATTTGAGACGTGCCGATGCATTAAATGTTAATTTTTTCAAATAAAAATACCTTTAAATTTTAAGAACATTATAAAAGTAATTGTAAAATAACCTTTATTATTGAATGAAACAAATAAAGGAAAGAAATGAAAAAAAACAAAAAATAAGAGAGAAATAAAAAATCAGCACTGGTACCCCCTATGGTTTAGAAAATATGCACAAATGCCCCCTTTCTTCGCCGGAAAAATGACCAGAAAATGATCAGAGGAGGCACGGGTGCAGCGTTTTGAAACCACAAGAACTTTAGAAATAAATTTTGAAAACATGGGGAATATTGTTGCCTATTTTACAAATCACGAGGGTATTGACCCTATTTGGCCTTTGTAATAATTGGGGGTGGCAAATTAGTCCAGGCGCAGAACCACATTGCACGATTTGGCCAAGTTAGGGTGGAGTCTAAAATTTTATACGGAGTCCGTATTTAATAAAAACAAGTGGGCCGTTGTGGGTCCTCTAGAAAAAACAAGTCGGACTGGTTTCTACTCCGTAATATTTAGAAACAAGAAGATCTAGACAAGCTTGATTTCTATAATTTAATAAATTATAAATATAAAAAGTATTAAATAAATTAAAATATTATCAAATCACATTTTAGTCTTTTTATCAAATTGTATTAATAAATATGTTCTTTATGATATATTCAATATTCTAGTAATCAAATTATATATATCAAATAATTAGTAAAATTTTTGTTGTCAATCACACTCTTTCTTATACGTCTTACAAATTCAATGGTGAAAGTCTTTAATTGGTTGAATATTATAATTTATTTTTATTTTATTTATGAAAATCATGGATTAGTTTTAAAAAGTGCATTATCGTATTGACTATACTACGGAGTAATATACACTGTTTAATTTTATATGATGTATTTTAAATTCTTAATTTAATAACAAAAAAACTTACTAACATACAGACCTGCAAGTCGGGACAGGATCGTTTCGGCATGTTTTTTTCAATAACCCGCCCGTCTTGGCATATTTATTCTAAAAACAAGTCAAAATTTTCATTATACCGTAGTACAAAATTTTTTATTATACTGGAGTAAAAAGAAATTCACGGTCTACCTATTTCGTATATACTTATGTAAGAGGGAACCAAGCATTATGATTTTATGTTTACTTATTTTGCCTCCGCCATTCACTCTCACCTCAAAAACCACTGCCTCCCACGCCACACCACAACCACCCCATTACAAAAAAATGCTAAAATCGCGACGGAAAAATTCCGTCGCCAAAGGCTTATTTTCGTAGTTAATCGGTTTAACGACGGTTTTTTTCCGTCGTTATTTTTTCGTTAGTATCAAAGTTAGCGACGGTTTTTGAATTCCGTCGCCAGGCAACGACAGAATTGGCGACGGAAAATGGCAACGGGTTTAGCGATGGAATTTTTCCCTCGCCACGTTTAACGACGGAAATGTCAATCGTTATAGCAATGTGACCACATAGCGACGGAACATGGTCTACAAATATTTTCAGTCAGTTGTTTTTTTCAATCCTTTGTCTTTTTTAATGTTCGTTGCTATGGTGTTGAATTGGGGCTGGTGTATTCTTTCACTCTGATCTTTAGGAGTCTAATAATGAAGTTTTGACTTTTATCCAAAAAACAAAAAAAAAAGAAACAACAAAATTGCAGAAAGGCTATGAGCATTGCGATCCATAAAAAGCACATCTGCCGGTGGGCGTTGCGCAATTGACAAGTGATGGTGTAAATTACCACGCAAATATTAAGTATAAGTAATCGGAAGGGTTGTAGGTGGGAACACCTGTAACCCGGTTTGTTATTATTGATAATAGGAGCTATTACAAAGTACAAGCCGTGTGGATTAGTAAAAGCATGCCTCACAAATGAGGCTTTTAGGAGTATTTATAATAATCCTAAGCACGTCAAGCACGTCTATGATTATCCAACCGGTCAATCGGCTGACCGGCCCCCTAGACGCACTTCAAGAATAGATCTTCAGTGGTTGGCTCCGGCCAACCCCTCCAACCGGGCAAACAACCCAGGCTGGGAAGGGTGCACGCTGTCACTTTTATGACCACCCATGCGGGTGAACCAACCGGGCAATCTCCATGGGTTATTACCCATCAAGGAGTCTCCGATTTCCGGGCCTGTGGGGTCCATCAGGGGCGGGAAGCACATGCGATTATCTCTTGAAATTTGAACTGCCCAGTCGCTTTTTGGCGGGAAAATCGTCTCGGAAAACCAGCGCCAACCCAAAATATTTGAATTTTGAATTTTGAATTTTGCAATTTCGAAAACCGGGTGTCCAAAGCGGGAGAATCTTCTCGAAGTCGGGTACTGAGCCGCCGATTTATTGTGCCGTTTCGTCTCCCCGAGAGGTTATGATGGCAAATCATTTCAGCTGCCACGTGTCATTCTTTCGTCCGTCCGTCTGGGCGGCATCTTTCCTATATATAGCGAGGTTCTCCCTAGCATTTCCTCACTTGCAAATCTTCGATTAAAAAACTGCCCGGCTGCTTCTGCTTTTTCACGAGTCCACGAGTCCACTTATTCCAAGTAAGTCTCTTTCTTTCCTCTTCTTTGAGTAATGTCTGACCGCGAAGACAGCCAGAACCCTTCCGTCCATTCTTACGGTTCTGGTGACCGGTCTAAGACTTCCGGTTCCTCTTCTTCTTCATCCTCTGATTCTGAGCACCCGGCTACTTCTCCACAGAAGAAGCCGGTTGATGCTTCCACTTGCGCTCCTTCTTCTCCCGTGGAGCAAGTGGTCTCGGTTGCCCAACCTGGGGATGAGGGTTTTATCCAGCTGGACGACCGGTTGCTCCAAACGCAATCGTCGGTCATGCAGAAGGCCCAAGTCCAGGAGGTGCGCAACCTGATGCCGGACGGGTACCAATTGACCTACCGGGCAATGTGGAAGAGCATTATTCCTCTCCATGTCGGTACGTCGATTGGTATCCATTACCACTCTATCAAGGACCTGGGTGAATTCTTTATTCACCTATTCAAAGTCCTTTTCCTCGAGACATACGGTATCATGCCCGGGCAGATGGCCCCTAATGGTCACCGTTTGTTGGGCAGCTTCATCAATGTCTTCCGGTTCCTTCGTATTCCTCTCTCCCTTCATTCCTTCGACCATAAGTTCGATGTCCGGCCGGGGTCCAAGGAAACCCTTGGATTCGTGGTGGTGTCTTCTCACCAAGGCCGAGCATTTCTCTGTGGCCTTCCTCCTTCTAACAAGAAGTGGAAGGACAAATACGTTTGTATCAAATTCCTCCTTCTCTGTGGCCTTTCCTTTTGCCCAAAATGTCTAGGGGAAAAGAATGAAGCGCCAGGTCAAACCAACGGAGGCCGATGATCTGGTTTCCTGGGAAACCACCCTCAGTCTCCCGGCCGGGAGATTGACCCTGAGCCGGAGATCGTCCTGCCTGGGATGATCCCCGAAGCTATCTCTATCAGCCGGGCGAGGGGATCCAAAGCCCTGGCCACAGCCACCGCCGGTCCTTCACGCCCGATGAAGAAGAAGAAAGAGAAAGGTCAATCAACTACCCTTCCTTATTTTCCTTCCATTTTTTCTTTTTTATATCGCTGTTCTTCTAACCGGTGTCTTTTCTTCCAGTGGTGAAGTTCCAGTCCAAGTTTCACATTCCCTAGATTGTGGTTGAGGAGCCCTCCTCTGTTCAGCCACTCAACCCTCCAACCAGCCAGCCGTTCTCTTTGGAGGAGCAACCGGCTCAATCCCATCAGAGCACCAACCAGCCAATCCACTCAGGTGAGCTCTTCATTAATGTAGACACCTTCGAGTTCGAGAACATGATGGGAGAGACCGGCCATACCTCTCAGGCCGGGCTGGCAGGTCAAGCCCCTGAGGATGACCAAGGCGAGGAAGAGGTCGCTGAAGAATCCCTTCAGCGGAAAAGGCGGAAGACTGAGGAGGTTAACCAGCCATCCCACCAGGGGGCCCAGTCCTCCGACGCTGGCAAGGGGCCAATCGTGCCTCGGTCCCTGTCTTTAATGTCTAGGTCAGACGAGGAGCTCTTCCAAGCGTTTCGTTCTGATCTGAATGAGGTAATTCCCTCTTCTCCCTTCTTACCGCTCTCTTCTAACTTGTGATATTCTTCTGATAAAATTTTTCATGTCATTAAAGAAGGTCGGTCGGATCGGGGAGGAGTACTTCGCCCGGTTGGTGAAGTCAAAGGATGAGGAGAGGACCCGGATGGAGGCCATAATGGTCCAATGTCGGAAGGATGCTCAGGCTGCCCATGCCCAGGCGGAGAAGGTGGAGGCCAAATGGCTGGAGCACTGCACGGTCTATCGCCAGCTCTACGCCAAGCACGACAGTCTTCTAAAGGCCGCGAAAGAGGCCGATGAGCAAGCCCAGGTCAAGATCCAGCACTTGGAGGCTGAGAACGCCTGGTCGGCTGAGGAGATCGCTCGGTTGGAAGATGAACTGCAGAAAGAGCGCTCGGAGAGGGCTCTTCTTGCTGCCGCCTGGGCTGTTCAGGCTCCTGAGGAGTTTGCTGCTAGGGCGCTACCTGACCGGGAGACTGCCATCCGCTTCTTCCAATGCTTGTACAAGTACGAGGTCTCGGCTGGGATCGTCGATGAGATCGGGACCTTCGGCTTTGAAAGCGACCAGTACACAGAGCGGCGGGCCCTCTACGGCATCCTTGAGCAGAGGATCCAAGGTTTTCAGCCGAAGGCCCTTCCCCTGGAATCTGATCTGTCCGGCCTTCTTCTCTCTTTTTTTTATTTTTTTATATTGTCTGATGTAATGATCTGCCTCCGGGCACTTTTTATATTAATAGAAGCATTTTCTATATTGTGTGCTGGGTGCTAGGTGCTTTACTCCATGTCTCATAAAACAGACCGGCTGCAATTACCCGGCCTAAAATACAAGTTTACCCAAGTCTTTTCGAAAGGCTGGGTGGTCGACTCGGAAGAATTTGAGTTTCATTAATTTTCTTCTGGTCGGTTAATAACCCGCAATGGCGTATTGACTTGTCCTTTTCGAAAGGATGAGTATTTGCCCGGGCGCTTGTAAGGTCGACGCCTTTAATTTTCACAACGGCTTAAAGCCCTTGTGGAAAGGTAAACCTCGAGTTTTTCTTCAGAACGTCTGACTTAAACTGGTCGGGATGCTCTCCCTTTAGTCAAGCCAAATCGTTTTAACTCCCGTGTTAGTACGGATGAGGTGTAGGATCGGTCAGACCGGTCTCCTTTTTTTTGAGATGCCCAATTCAATTGGACATCTAACCGGGTAGATCGGTGTGTTGACCAATTACCAGTTGATGTACGAGAACAATCTTTCTAAAAAGAACAAAGTTTTATTAACGTCTAGGGAACTCATTACACTTTATCTAAAGAATTTACGTAAGTGATGAGAGTTCCAATGTCGGTCAACCCGGCCACCTTCCATAGTCTCCAGTTGGTAAGTGCCCGGCTTGATGATAGCCTTTATGCGATAGGGTCCCTCCTAGTTTCGTACTAGCTTGCCTCTCTCATTAGGCTTACTAGCATCCCTTCCGCGTAAGACTTCATCATGCACTTGGAAACATCGTGGGCCCACCTGGTTATCATGATACCTCTTTACTGACTGCTGGTAACCGGCCATCTTGACAGCGGCTATGGTCCTTCGTTCTTCCACCAGATTCAATTCAGCTAGGTGGCCGACTTCATTCTGACCGGGCTGGTACACGGTTTCTCTAAATGTTGGAATTTCTGCCTCTACTGGTAGTGAGGCTTCACATCCGTAAGTGAGCATGAAAGGAGTCTCTCCAGTTGCTCTCCTTGAAGTCACTCTTTGCGCCGAGACCGTATGAGGCAAGGCTTCCAACCACTTGTGTCCTTCCTCACCCAATCTCTTTTTCAGCCCGTCCACTATTGTCTGGTTAGCATTTTCGACTTGGCCATTTCCTTGTGGATATGCTACCGATGCGTTGCTATGCTTGATCCCGAAGCTACCAAGGTATGCAGTGAACTGGGGGTTGCGAAACTGTGGACCATTGTCGGTAACAATAATCTTCGGGGCACCAAACCGGGTGATAATGTTTTCCAAACAAATTTCTCACACTGCCGCACGGTTATGGTAGCCATCGCCTCAGCCTTGATCCATTTAGTGAAGTAATCAATAGCCACCATCACGAACTTCTTTCTGCCTTGGGCGACCGAGAAGGCTCCAATAATGTCAATCCCAAACCGGGCAAATGGTATGACATTAGACGTTAGTTGGTAATATGTGGCCGGCCTGCCGGGATGTTTGTAAATAACCTGGCACGTCCTACATCTCTGGACATACCGCTCACAATCCCCAACAATGGTCGGCCAGTAGTAGCCAAGCAATATTATCCTTTGAGTCAAAGTGCGGGACATTTGATGGGCTGCACAAACTCCCTCATGCACCTCAGCTGTTACCCGTTCAGCCTCCGGGTTGGTAAGGCAACGTAGGAGAGGTCCACCGATGGCACGTTTGTACAAGTGACCATCGATTACCTGAAAACGAGGAGCCCGCAGGACCACTTTCCTGGCTCGTTCCTCATCATCTGGTTTCTGACCGGTCTCTAGATACTCCATGAGTTCGTACCTCTAGTCATCATCTGCTCCAATTATCCCGGTTGCTGTAGTTTGGCCAGTCTGGATAGCCGCTACCTCAAACCGGTCAGTGCTCGGTACGTCCAGTATCTCAATCTTTGCCAACTTCGGTACATGCTCCGGGCAGGCTTGCGTCAATTTTGAAAGTATATCAGCATCAGTGTTTTCTGACCGGGGTATTCTAGTCAGACGAAACTCTTCCAACTCCCTTAGGAGTGCTCGGACCAGGTCACTATACCGGGCCAGGCGATCTTCTTTAACTTCCATCTCACCATTGACCTGTCCAACGACCATACTTGAATCGGAACGGATCTTCATCCTTTTTATTCCAAGCGCCCGGGCTAATCTGAGACCACCGGCCAGTGCCTCATACTCCGCCTCATTGTTGGTGAGTTTGAAGTTAAAAACTAGGGCATGGTAGATCTTGAATCCTTCCGGGGTAGTGAAGACTACGCCGGCTCCACATCCCTTCGGTCTAGAGGCCCCATCAACGGCCATATCCCACCACGGTTCGACCGTATGGGAAGGTCCGACTTCGGGCTCTAGACCGGTCAGTTCGATGAGGAAGTCTGCCAAAGCTTGACCTTTGATTGCGGTCCTTGGTTTATACTCTATTTTGAACTGAGTAAGCATCATCGCCCACTTGATCAATCGTCCCGAGGAGGTTGAATTTTGGAGGACTGGCCCAAGTGGCTGATCGGTTAGTACTTCCACAGTGTGAGCTTGGAAGTACGCGGTCAGTTTTTTGGCCATGATAAAAAGTGTGTATGCTGTTTTTTCAATGGCAGTGTACCGGCTCTCTGCCCCATTAAGTGCTTTGCTCACAGAGTAAATAGGCCTCTGGCCGTCTTCATTTCTTATCAAGACAGAGCTTACAGCGTTTTGAGAAATTCCTAGATACAAGTACAAAGTCTCACCCGGTTTGGGTTTGGACAGAACTATATCAGAAACTAAGTACTCTTTCAGCTGCTGGAAAGCTTCCTCGCACTCCCGGTCCCATTCGAATGCATTTGCCTTTTTCAGAACTTTGAAGAAAGGTAGAGCCTTCTCGGCAGAACGGGAGAGAAAACGACTCAAAGTTGTCAACCGCCCGGTCAGTCGTTGCACGTCCTTTAATAAACTGGGCGATCTCATCTCGGTTATGGCTTTAATCTTCTCAGGATTAGGCTCAATACCACGCTTGGTCACCATGAACCCCAGAAACTTTCCGGTCTTTACAGCAAAGACGCATTTCTTGGGGTTAAGGCGCAAGTTCTACTTAGCCATAATCTCAAAGAAGAGCCTCTTGTCGGCCGGGTGGCTCTCTGCACCCGGGCTCTTGATCAGCATGTCATCTACATAGGCCTCCATGGACTTACCGAGGAGTGGCTTAAAGAGCCAGTTTACCATCCTCTGGTAAGTGGCGCCTGAATTCTTCAGGCCAAAAGCCATCACCCGGTAGCAATAAGTGCCTTCAGGAGTTAAGAAGGAAATCTTCTCCTCGTCTTCCTTGGCCATGAAGATCTGATGATAGCCTTTGAAGGCGTCCATGAAGCTGAGCAATTCACACACGGCCGTCTCATCGACCATTTGATCGGGACTGGGCAACGGGTATGAATCCATGGGGCATGCCTTGTTCATGTCCGTGTAGTCTACGCACATGCACCAGGTGTCGCCTTTTGGGGCTAGGACGACGTTTGCTAACCAGGCTGGGTATTGTACCTCCCGTATGTGCCCGACCGCCAACAAATCCTTCACCTCTTTCTTCACAAAGCCCCTCCGGACGTTCGCCAAGTGCCTCTTCTTCTGTTTCACAGGCCGGCTCCCTTCCATCACAACCAAACGATGGCATATGACAGAACGGTCTATGCCCGGCATGTCCGCCACACTCCAAGCGAAAATATCTGCGTATTCCCGAAGGACCGAGATGATTTCCTCTCGAAGTCCTCTGGGCAGATCCCTGCCTATTCGCACCATCCTTTCCGGGAAGGCTTCCCGGAGAACGATCTGCTCGGTTTCATCACCCGGCTCTAGCTTTGACCGGTCTTCCTCCTGAGAGACCAAAGTGACTCTCTCAAAAGCCTTCGTCATTTTCTTTACAGCTTCCAAATAGAAATGCCGGGCCTTCTTTTGATCTCCTCTCACTTGTCCTATACCGCCCGGGGTATAGAACTTCATACAGAGATGGGCCATGGAGATGACCCCACGGACCTTGTTTATCCCAGGCCGGCCCAAAATGGCATTGTGCACACATTTGATGTTCACCACCACAAACCTCATTTGTTTTTGGACTACCTGTTCGCCTGTGCCCAATTCACAAGTTAAAAGGATCGACCCTTCAGCTTCGACTAAGTCCCTGGTAAACCCGGACAGGGGAGTCTTTAGGGGCTCAAGCCGTGTTCGACACAACTTGAGCTTCTCAAATGCATCCAAATACAAACGTTGACACTACTGCCCGTGTCAACAACTACCTGGGAGACATCGACTCCACCCATGTCCATGGTTATGACCAGGGGGTCATTGTGATCTTCTCCGGTGGCGGGAAGGTCTCGGTCAGTAAAAGTGATCGGTTCCCGTCTCGCTTGTTTTGACCGGGGATTTAGGGCCACCGTCCCGACGTAGAGCTCTCGCCCCCATTTCTTCCTTTGGGAAGCCGAGTCTCCCCCTTCCGGTCCGCCGTAGATGACCTGCAAATGCTCCTTACCGGCTGCTTTCTTCTTTTTATTTTGCTCGGCCAGTTGTCCCTCAGGCCTGATCCATTGGCTCTTCTTTTGCTTGGCCTGAGCCAGATACTCAGGATCGATCTCCCCGGCCTCGATCATCTGCTTAATCACTCCCTTCACACTGTTACACTCCGCAGTGTTATGGGAATCAGTTTTGTGGAAGGAGCAATACTTCTCCGTCCATTGCTTCTCGCCGGTCGGGTTCTTCTCTGATTTGATCGGCTTAACCTCCATGACTTCAGCCTTCGCCCTACCAGGCAGATCAATTTCCTTCTTCAAGGAATATTTTCCTTTGGAATGGCCCTGCTCGGCCTTCCTTTTGGATGACACCTGTGCTTCGGCGTCAGCATATTCCCAGGCTGTGTTGTAGGCCTCCTGGTAGGATTGGGGAGGCCTCCTGCAGAATTCTTTGTATAGTTCACCGGACCGGAGCCCGGACACAAGGAGGGACATGGCTATTTTGTCGTCCATCTCCTCCACCTTGTCAACTTCATCCTTCCACCGGGTGAGGAATTTCGTCAAATCCTCGTGTTCTTGCTGCCTGGCTGTACTCAAGTAGGTAAACTTTTTCCTCTTTGTACAGTTCTCTTTGAATTTTTCCTGGAACACCTCGGCCAGTTCATCAAATGAATCGATCTCACCGGCCGGGAGGTTGTGAAACCACTCAGCGGCCCGGCCGCGGAGGGTCTGAAAGAAAAGTAAACATTTTTCGTCCCCGGAAAGGCCCATCATCCTTCCACTTTGATGAAGGGTTTTGACATGTATTTCCGGGTCCTCCTTCCCGGTAAACTTCGGGACCTCCAACTTTGCTTTCTTTGGAAATGGGGTCTCGTGAACCCGGTCTGTAAACGGAGATTCGTTAGCAGAATTTTATTCTTTTCGTCCCGGTCCACCCGGCGCTGCAGCTTCTCCAAACGTGCTTCGACCCGGCCCACACGATCCCGAGGTTGTTCAACATGGGAGCGGATCGTGTGCCTAGGATGGCTTTCCGCTTCTTCTTCTCCATGGGGCGCCCGACTATGTTGGGGCTCTTCGCGATGGGGAGGTTCCGTGCGCCTGGTCCGACCAGGTCGCTCGGCCCCTCTACTCAGGCGATCAAAAGCACTCAACGGGGTTGTTTCCACTCCTAGTCGTTCTTTGGCAGGCCGGTTTTGATTTCGGCCATCGTGGCCAAGTCTTTGAAAGGCTGACCTCCTGGACCCTTCAGGTTGAACAACTTTTCCCTTCAACTTTTTGAGCGCTTGGGGAACATCCCAGTCCTCATCTTTGCTATGGACCGAGCGCACATCCCCGTTCGAGGTCACTTTCGTCTGTGACCTACGGGACCGGCTTCTTCTAGATCGGGATGGACCAGCTTTATCCATTTCCCCGATTAGGTTCGTCGGGATGACCGGGCGAATGATGCTAGTTTGAGGCAAGGATTTTGGATACATTCCCGGAATGAAAGGCGAAAATCCCCTCGACTGTTGAAACATGGACATGAACTGCCCAAAATTTTGAAGAGCCTGGGAATACATCGGATCCATGGGCCCGGGGAAATTTGGAGGAAAAACAGGAACAGAGTTCATGGGGGAAGTGAATGGGATAGGTGGTGGAATGGTGATAATGGGGGTAGGAATCTGGCTTGACGGTTGGGTACTTCCTCCCAGGAACGAAGTGACGTTCTCAGCGGGAGTAGAAATTTGTGAGACGACAGTTTCCTGGTTGCTTGCCATGACTTTTGTAATAGGTCCCACGGGTGGCGCCAATTTGATGGTGTAAATTACCACGCAAATATTAAGTATAAGTAATCGGAAGGGTTGTAGGTGGGAACACCTGTAACCCGGTTTGTTATAATTGATAATAGGAGCTATTACAAAGTACAAGCCGTGTGGATTAGTAAAAGCATGCCTCACAAATGAGGCTTTTAAGAGTATTTATAATAATCCTAAGCACGTCAAGCACGTCTCTGATTATCCAACCGGTCAATCGGCTGACCGGCCCCCTAGATGCACTTCAAGAATAGATCTTCAGTGGTTGGCTCCAGCCAACCCCTCCAACCGGGCAAACAACCCGGGCTGGGAAAGGTGCGCGCTGTCACTTTTATGACCACCCATGCGGGCGGTCTCCATGGGTTATTACCCATCAACAAGTTAAGATGTGCCAAGGAGATAAAGACCTGAGTTCGATTCATGCATTATGCTAAGCATAGGGTCCTCGGGGATGGGCTCATTTTTTTTCCAAAAAAAAGAACGTCTTTGAGAAATAACCAATAAAGGAAAAATGAAAAAGTAAGTCTCTTTGGAGAAGTTTGGGCATCCTAACATAAATGAAGTTTGGAACTGGGGACACCGTAATAATTCCGGCTTGCACAATTGAAATCATATACTTGACATTTCCTTTGTACTCCTTTCGTGTCTCTGAGTATCTATTCACTTTTGATTTTAATTAAAATAAGTTAATTTTGACATTAAATTAAATAAAAATACTATTAGACATTGATACAAAAATAATTTTATTAGATTTATATAAAATATTTTCAAAATACTATTTTATGTAATTAATATACAATATATATTTTATTTAATTATAGGTCAAAGATTAAAAATGGTTGACTGAAAAAAGTCAAAAGTGTACAAATACTCAAGAACGGAGGTAGTACAAAGTTATTTCTAGGTACCCTCGATTTTGATAACTCTCAGGTCTCGTATTATTTACGGAGTAAAAATGTAAAACATAATTATGAGTACCTTCAATTTTTTGTTAAAAGTTTTCACCTCTCAAATTATCGAAAATATACTTTGGGGGTCCATATAATTTGTGGTAATGTACTCTGATGTTACATTCAGTTTATTTGGTCGTTCGAATTGGAAGTTCCATACTTCCATTGCTTTGACAAATAATAAATTTTACCTTAATAATCATTATTTTATTCAATTTAAATAAAATCATTTAATTCGTAAAATTAAAGAAACTTTTGTCCTAACGTCTAAATGGGCAGAATGTATTCTCTGACTATAATATCACAAACATTAAGGATCCCGGAGTATATTTCAGATAATGTAGAATTTGAAAGTTTTTACCAGAAAGTTGAAGGTAACCTAGAAAATCGGGAGTACTCCGAAGAAATTTCTTGTTTCTTCTCTCCCAAATTAGCGGTTCTCTTTTACTTTTTGATAAATTAAAATAGTCATGTCACTTTGTGTTTTTTTAGAACTTTTGATTTACTCCCTCTGTCTGTATTTAATTTTCCCATTTGACTTTTCTTAATCCAAGTTTGTAAACTTCGACCTTGATTTATGAAAAAAATACATCGTATTTTGATATAATTGTAATATGAATAGTTTCTTTTTGAAATATTGTTCTAAAACATTAAAAATTTTATAACATATGTGTATGTATAAATATCAATAGTGAAAAGTTAAATGAAACGATTAGACTTGGACAAAGGAAGTTATATTAAAAAATGTTGTATTCTACTCAGTTTTATACCAAAATCCATTTAAAAAAAGAGATTAGATTTTATACTACCTTTTTCCAACAATAAAGTTCTTATTTACTTTTCAGTCAAATTTTATTCACTTTGTTGGCCTATTTTTGTGTCCTATTTGATAAAATAATATAGTCATGTCACTTCTAGTTTTATAGATCTTTCATGTAGATTTTAAATATGTAATTTTTATTTTTTTTAGTTTCATACTATTTTTCATATAAAATAATTTAAAAATAAATTCAACCCAATATCATAACACGTAATGAAAACTTTATTTATGACGGAAGAAGTATATTTTTAGATATGGGAGCGAGGAGTACTTCACTTTAGTCAAAATTGTATAGTTGAATAGAGGAATGAGTTTGGTTTGGTGGGGCAGCAACTTTTAGGGAATTAAAAGAGGCCCATATGTGTCATAAGCCTTTGAGATGGTGTGGAGGTGACGTGTGTCTGCTTGTTCATACCATAGTGGAGATGTGACCAATTTTGTCCTTCTAGATTGTGTCCTCCTTCCATTTTCCATTTGACACCTATCACCATGTATGGATGGATTTGTAGGGGAAAATGCTAGGGTACACCAAAAGTGTACCCCAAACATCTCCCACCCCCTCCATCACCACACAAAAATGGCAAGAAAAATTCAAAAAAAATAAAAAAATAAAAATAAAATAAAATGAATGGTTAAAAGGAGGGTGGTGTACATTTGGGGTACACCAAAGGTGTACCCCTAGCATATCCCATTTGTAGGAGAGGCCCCGGGGCATAGACCAACTGATTTAGACTTTAAAGTGGCTTAAAGGTTTGCCAAGCTCTCTCTTTGTCTAGCTGAGCGAGTGGGGAGTTCGAATTCCACCACATATTATATAGATTTGGTTCCCTCTCGGGCGAGATCAGCAATTTAACGTACTCTCTAATTCTGTCTAGTTGAGGCACAACTCGCGATTTATTCCTCTTCCACCATCTCTGAGGGCGGGCACGAGTATAGGAAACACCTGAGACAGAGGTTTCATATTTTTCCCCCTGAATTTGTATGAGAGAAAAATGCAAATGATGAGAACTGTTAATCGAAAAAGATGAACTCCATCGTTTTTTCAAACTCTATTGCTTCATATTACAGTAACATCGCATCAATACACCTGAACTGAGCTTCTCTCCTGACTTGAGTGATATACCCATTAGCCCAATTCACAGGATTTACGGGAAAATTCACTCAGATTCGAGGTCTGGCAGAGACAAAGACATTGACTTTTTGTACGTCATTAGGTTGAAAATAGTATAAACAGATATTATATTGATATTAAAGTTATCAATCTGAGCAAAACGAAGGTACTATTATTCTCTATAATTATAGATATTCCATTATAGATTACTATTTCATAAAATTTACTCCGTAATTGTTATCTACAGTAATCATACCGAGTACTCTCTCCGTTTCTTAAAACCCTTCCTCTTTTATTTTTTTTGTTTTTCTTAAAAGACTTCCCCTTTCTATTAAAAAATCACTTTTACCCCTACTTTTTCATACCCTACCTATCACATCATACTTTTTCACTAACAACTAAACTATCACATCTTACTTTTACCCATCACATCAAGGGCAAAATTGGAAAGTCAACTACAATTTAACACTTCCTTATTTTCACCCAAAGTCAAAAGAGGAACTCTTTTGAGAAACGAAGGTAGTAGTATATATTATCCTATTTTAGTGTTCCTAGTCATTATACCAACTAAAATCCTTAAGAAATTGACACATTGTGACTTTTATTCCATTGTTAGCGTATCAATTTGAGAACCTTTGATGCATAGACTCAAATTTGCAATATTTATGCTTAAAGTGGACCTCCTATAAAATTTTATAAAATTGTGGACAAAATATAAATATTTCCAAAATATAGATGATCATTTATGGGATTTATTCAAAAATATTACTCCCTTTATTCAAAGATGAGTTTCCGCTTTAGTTTTAGGTTCCTCTCAAAATTTACTTCTAACTCATACTCGGTATTAGTTTTCTCTCCTACAGTCCAATGCATAATTCTCAACAAAAAGTTTTCATCAATACTTTATTTAAAAACAAGGAAATAGTTGACCAAAACAATGGGGGAGAAAATTTTATAGAAATGTTGTGTGTTTAATGTATTATTTATAAAAATAGTTGTGCATTTAAAAAATGTATTTATGGAAATAATAATATATTATTATAATGAAGACAAAAATATAGTGATGATGATAATATTATTATGATATACATACATACATACATACATACATACATACATACATACATACATATATATATATATACACACACACACACACATATCAAAAACTCTATTTTCAAACAGTTAATTTTATCAAACATTTATAACGATTAGCCAACACATAATGCTGGTCCACACAAACAACCAATAGTTGATAGGCAACATCCAAACAAGGCCGTAGTTGTGAGAAGACGATGATTTCATCGGGTTTAATTAATGTTCCTATATTAAGTTATTCAAATTTTTTTAAATGATGTCCAATTTAGTTTCATTACTTTGGCAACTCATTATTTTAGTTGTCAGCCAAAATAATTTCATGTAATTAAGTTTTACACGGACTCGATCGAGCTGAATCAGTTATGTAAAATTTAGTAATTTCTTAAAATTTTGAATAAATTAGTAAAGGAACATTAAAAAATTATTTGATAGATCAACATTTGAGTTATTTATCTCAATTTTTCCTATGAAGTAACTTAAATAAAAAAAATTTCTCTCTTTTTGTGATTTGAGAAAAAAAGGACATAAAAAAAGATACAAAATGGAAAAAATAGAGTGTAACTTATTTTAATAAGAAATATGAAATTAAAATATTTATTTTAACTCGTTTTAGTTTTTTCAATTTTTTAAATTTATTCAAATCTCACTAAGTTGTTTTCTTTCAACTTTTCTTAGTTTTTAAATTTTTTTCAGTTTCTTTGCTTCGGCGCACTTCATCTTCCCGTGCAAGGAAGAGACGAACGATTTTATCATGTTGTTTTATTAAATCGTTTAAAAATTTTAAATTACATGCTCGAAGCTAATTAGTAGGGTCGGAATAGCAATGTAAAATTATGCAAATTCTTAAAGTATTGGAATGCAAAAGAAAAAAAATCTGAGAGTGACATTGAAAAATCGACCAAATCTTAGAGTATTGGTATGAATTTTTTCTATATTCAAATGAAATCACTTCATATTTTGGTATAACCCGACACCCAAGCTCGATTCTTTTTTGTTTGAAAAATATGTGCGGGTATTGGAGATCTGGAAGAAACAAGTAGTTGTAAGAAGACGGGGGGATTTCACCGGGTTCAATTAGGGTTCTTTTATTAAGTTATTCAAAACATTTTAAATGATGTTCAAGTTTTTTTCAATTTAATTTCATGACTTAAGGAGGCTCAGCAACTCATTATTTTAGCTGTCGGCCAAAATAATTTCATGTAACGACTTAATCGAGCTGAATCAGTGATGCAAAATTTAGTAATTTCTTAGAATTTTGAATCATTCGAGCTGAATTAGCAATGTATAATTTTGTAATTTCTTAAAATTTAGCAACTCAATGGGTTTGGAGTATCAATGTAAAATTTAGTAATTTTTTAGTAATTTCTTAATTCATCTTGAGAGAAGAATTTGGATAGAAGTAAAAATCAATGAAAATACCAAAATAAAAGTGATACTCCGTAGTTCTTTTAAGACAAAATAGGAGTTCACACTACCATTGTGACACTGTCACACTCTCACATCTGTCGCAGCCGGCCCATCAGTGTGCCTCCGCAAATCACCAACGGTTGCCAACAAGTATTATTAAATCATAGTACTATCATATTTCGATTTTGATATTAAAAGATTTAGTACTCCTAGTTTGATATTTTAATACGAGTATTTTTTTGTTAGAGATTTCTTATTCCCAAGAATTCAATTTCTACGTCTAAATTATTCCAAACAAGGCCTATCCACAAATGCGCATCAATCGCGCACATATGCTGATGATATGCATATTATATGCACACCCAAGCCAACTCCTCCATCCTTCACGCAGACTCTACAAAAACAGTTTTCTTTTTATATTTTTAATCAGCAAAACAGTGTTACTTTTGGTTGATTTTCTGATTTTCGATTTGATTTAAACCGAATCATTGCTGGAAAAGACGTTTAGCGTTTACATTTCGATCATTCCGCCGGCGTCTTCGTCTTCTCTGCAACGCAAAGCCGCATCATCGGTGGGAGGATGAAGAAAGCTTAAGCTGGGAGGAAAAGTGGGAGCAGCAGAAATCGAGCGGGAGAGGGGCCTGCTGACTTTTTAAGGTATTGTTTGGATGAAAAGTTTCGGTCAAACTCGATTCCCAGGACTTGGATGGATAAGTTGCGTTCCTGACTGAAATTTTTCTGCTTTAAGGCCTTTACACATGCTTTGATGCTCCTTTCTTTTTTTTCCAACTTTTTTCGCTCCTTGTCTTTTGCCAAGTAAAATCCCAGCATATTTTTGCTTTAAATACATTGCTTATTAAGGTAATTTGGGGTTTTCTATGGCCATTTAGAGCTTCAAACAGTAGTACAACCGGGAGAAGCTTGTACGTGTTCGGTGCATAATAATATTTATCAATTTTGCAGAAATATCCTTTTGCATTTAATCCTTCTGATTAATGATAATCTGTTCATCAGATATTAACCCATGCATGTTTGCTTTGATTATTATGTTTTTCTATGCACTGTATAGTGGTTTATGCATATTTGGATTGTAGCAAGTTAGTTGGGGTTTTTATGACTACCAAAATCTAGACACTTTCTTCATCCAATTCATGTTCTCAGAACCTGATTTTTTGGGGTGATAACTCTGTTGTCTATTGCTTACTTGCCTCAAGTCCATGGCTCTTTTTTTTTTTTTTGAATTTTGTATTCTGATTGTTGTTATGGTGTATGATGGATTGATATTTGGTTTTAGTTTGAGTAAACCTAAGTCCCTAATCATGGCAGGAGCTGACTTAATTCAATAGTCTGCATACCTACCTGTGTGTACACAATGAACTCAACATACACTGAGTTTGTCAACCCAAGACAAATTGGCATATGCGATCCGATCCACGAGATTGGGATGTGGGGAGGATTCAATGGGAGTGGCTGCTCGAGTGCCTCGGCAACCATGATTTTAGAAGTTGGGAAAAGTATGTACAGCCAGATGCCGGTTTTTGAGACATCACTTAACCAGGTGTGCATCGGTTCATTTGCATTTCTGATTTATTATAAAGTTTCTTACCCGTGCACCTCTACCTCGATTGGTTCCTATCGTGATATGGCTATAGACTGAGGAAGCTTTGCATGGAATAGCTGGACCTTCTAACAAATACGAAGGCACATCACCTAAATCAACCAATAAGGTAAAAAATTGTTTTCGCTATGTTAGAAATGAAACACCCCCAAAAGAGGGAAAATTGACGCATTTTTCGTGTGTTCATTTGGCATAGTTTTCGAATACAGGTAATAACCAAGCATTTGTTACATATGTGTCTTTGTATTTCTTGTGATTAGAAGACCGCTGTATACTTTCTACACAGCACTTTCTCCTTTTTTGGGTTTGATGTCTTGGAAGATTGGTCATTACCCTCACAGTTCATTGTAATAAGTATTTACTCTTTATGTGACTTGAGTAATTGATGAGACTTTTTTTTGAAAAACAGTTATTGAGACGCCTTGCTCAAAACCGTGAAGCTGCCCGCAAAAGCCGGCTAAGGAAAAAGGTGCCATCCAGTTTTGATGAACTAACATTATATTGTTTTGAACCTCAATATGTTATTTATACTTCTAATGAGTTACCTAGCTGTTGAGAATCAATATTTTCATCAAGATAGTTGTTTAGTAAATTTCATCTTATTTTATAGGCCTATCTTCATCAGTTGGAAAGTAGTCAACTGAAACTGATTAAACTGGAACAAGAACTTGAAAGGGAAAGACTACTGGTAACAATTACAACATCTCTTACATGCCCCATTCTAGCTTTTCTTGTTTTCTTTTTTACACTGCTTTTTCTGATGGAGAGATAGTTTTAAACTTGGGTTTAGTACAGTATCCAATAAACCAAAAATTGTTCTTTCAGCAGGGTAAGAAAGGAACTAGTCATCAAGTCCACACCGGGACTGAAAACTCAGGTTCGTAGGTTAATAAATACTCCAATTTCATTTCCATTAAAAAACTGTGTACTTGTATGACATCAACTAATCTTTCTAGCGTGGATTATAATGGAATATGTTTCAATTTTGTACACTGTATTTTAAACACTATACTCCAAGAGATGAACTATCAACTATGCTACATCCTGGGGTGGTTGGAGTGGCTCACCTGTGTCTTCACC